CGCTGGAGCGTGTTTGAGCGTGTTTGACGCTATGAGTGTGTTTGATGCTTTGAGTGTGTTTGAGCGTCTTTGATGCTTTGAGTGTGTTTGAGCGTGTTTGATGCTATGAGTGTGTTTGATGCTATGAGTGTGTTTGATGCTATGAGTGTGTTTGATGCTATGAGTGTGTTTTTGACGCTGGAGCGTGTTTGTGTTTGACGCTGGAGCGTGTTTGTGTTTGACGCTGGAGCGTGTTTGTGTTTGACGCTGGAGCGTGTTTGTGTTTGACGCTGGAGCGTGTTTGTGTTTGACGCTGGAGCGTGTTTGTGTTTGACGCTGGAGCGTGTTTGTGTTTGACGCTGGAGCGTGTTTGTGTTTGACGCTTTGAGCTTGTTTGAGCGTTTTTGACGCTGGAGCGTGTTTGAGCGTGTTTGACGCTGGAGCGTGTTTGAGCGTGTTTGACGCTGGAGCGTGTTTGAGCGTGTTTGACGCTGGAGCGTGTTTGAGCGTGTTTGACGCTTGAGCGTGTTTGTGTTTGACGCTTTGAGCGTGTTTGTGTTTGACGCTTTGAGCGTGTTTGTGTTTGACGCTTTGAGCGTGTTTGACGCTTTGAGCGTGTTTGACGCTTTGAGCGTGTTTGACGCTTTGAGCGTGTTTGTGTTTGACGCTTTGAGCGTGTTTGTGTTTGACGCTTTGAGCGTGTTTGTGTTTGACGCTTTGAGCGTGTTTGTGTTTGACGCTTTGAGCGTGTTTGTGTTTGACGCTTTGAGCGTGTTTGACGCTTTGAGCGTGTTTGACGCTTTGAGCGTGTTTGACGCTTTGAGCGTGTTTGTGTTTGACGCTTTGAGCGTGTTTGTGTTTGACGCTTTGAGCGTGTTTGTGTTTGACGCTTTGAGCGTGTTTGTGTTTGACGCTTTGAGCGTGTTTGTGTTTGACGCTTTGAGCGTGTTTGACGCTTTGAGCGTGTTTGACGCTTTGAGCGTGTTTGACGCTTTGAGCGTGTTTGTGTTTGACGCTTTGAGCGTGTTTGTGTTTGACGCTTTGAGCGTGTTTGTGTTTGACGCTTTGAGCGTGTTTGTGTTTGACGCTTTGAGCGTGTTTGTGTTTGACGCTTTGAGCGTGTTTGACGCTTTGAGCGTGTTTGACGCTTTGAGCGTGTTTGACGCTTTGAGCGTGTTTGTGTTTGACGCTTTGAGCGTGTTTGTGTTTGACGCTTTGAGCGTGTTTGTGTTTGACGCTTTGAGCGTGTTTGTGTTTGACGCTTTGAGCGTGTTTGTGTTTGACGCTTTGAGCGTGTTTGACGCTTTGAGCGTGTTTGACGCTTTGAGCGTGTTTGACGCTTTGAGCGTGTTTGTGTGTGTGTTTGACGCTTTGAGCGTGTTTGACGCTTTGAGCGTGTTTGACGCTTTGAGCGTGTTTGACGCTATGAGCGTGTTTGACGCTTTGAGCGTGTTTGACGCTTTGAGCGTGTTTGACGCTTTGAGCGTGTTTGACGCTTTGAGCGTGTTTGAGCGTGTTTGACGCTGGAGCGTGTTTGAGCGTGTTTGACTCTGGAGCGTGTTTGAGCGTGTTTGGTGTTTGACGCTGGAGCGTGTTTGACGCTTTGAGCGTGTTTGACGCTTTGAGCGTGTTTGACGCTTTGAGCGTGTTTGACGCTTTGAGCGTGTTTGACGCTTTGAGCGTGTTTGACGCTTTGAGCGTGTTTGACGCTTTGAGCGTGTTTGATGCTTTGAGCGTGTTTGACGCTTTGAACGTGTTTGACGCTGGAGTGTTTGAGTGTTTGATGCTGGAGTGTGTTTGATGCTTTGATCGTCTTTGACGCTGGAGTGTGTTTGACGCTGGAGTGTGTTTGAGCGTGTTTGACGCTGGAGTGTGTTTGAGCGTGTTTGAGTGTGTTTGATGCTTTGTGTGTTTGACGCTTTGTGTGTGTTTGACGCTTTGAGCGTGTTTGACGCTTTGAGCGTGTTTGACGCTTTGAGCGTGTTTGACGCTATGAGCGTGTTTGACGCTTTGAGCGTGTTTTTTGTTTGATGCTTTGAGCGCGTGTTTGATGCTTTTTGTTTGATGCTTTGAGCGCGTGTTTGATGCTTTTTGTTTGATGCTTTGAGCGCGTGTTTGATGGTTTGAGTGTGTTTGATGCTTTGAGCGCGTGTTTGATGGTTTGAGTGTGTTTGATGCTGGAGTAGGGCTGGACGATATGGCCAAAATTGATATCATGATATATTTCTTAATTTCGGTCGATACGATATAGTTCCGATATCCATATGAACACTATTTATCTGGAATTAAAATCTTTTGTAACAATATAAATGCCTTTATCATCACTTTTGATCAATTTTAAGCATCCTTGCTAAATAAAAGTATTAATTTCTATAATTTCTTTCCCAAAAAAAAATAAAAAATTATACTGAATGGAATAGTGTAGGGATGCACCGAAATGAGAATTCTTGGCCGAAACCGAAAAAGAGGAAACCAAGGCTGAAAACCGAAACACCGAAAGAAATGTTGCTTCAGACAAGCACGTGCAGGTCGCGGTTTCTGTTTGCGTCATCAAAACATTTCGGCCGTATTGTTTCGGTGATAAAAGTCTTTCGGCCGAAAACCGAAAATGCACTTTTGGGCCATTTTCGGCCGAAAATTTTCGGTGGCCGAATATTCGGTGCATCCCTAGAATAGTGTATAATGTTACAAAAGCTTTTTATTTCAGACAAATGCTGATATTTGGATCTTTCTATTCATCAAAGAATCCTGAAAAAAAAAATTTACTCAACTGTTTTAAATATTGAAAATCAGCATATTAGAATGATTTCTGAAGGATCATGTGACACTGAAGACTGGAGTAATGATGCTGAAAATATACCTATGTATGATAACAGGAATAAATTACATTTTAAAATATATTCAAACAGAGTGATGAAGCCAATCAGTAGATATGGGGATTGTTAGGAGGCCATGATGATCAGAGGCCAATGGGCAAATTTGGCCAGGATGCCGAGGTCACACCTCTACTCTTTTCGAAAGACATCCTGGGATTTTTAATGACCACAGAGAGTCAGGACCTCGGTTTAACGTCTCATCCGAAGGACGGTGCTTGTTGACAGTATAGTGTCCCCGTCACTATAGTGGGGCATTAGGACCCACACAGACCACAGGGTGAGCACCACCTGCTGGCCTCACTAACACCTCTTCCAGCAGCAACCTAGTTTTCCCAGGAGGTCTCCCATCCAGGTACTGACCAGGCGCAGCCCTGCTTAGCTTCAGTGGGCAACCAGTCTTGGGCTACAGGATGATATGGCGACTGGATGAAAATGAAAACTCATTGTCTGCCAGCAGGAGGCGCTTTTAGAGTGATAAAACTAGCGCTTTCCCCAGTAATGGCTGTTATCACAGCAGCTCCGCTCATGAATGCTACTTTATCAGATTTTTCTGAAGACAATTGGTTCCCTTCAGAGATACATTCATATAAAACACCCGTGCCGTGTTTTGATTTTGAAACGTGCAGTGCTCGTTTATTCAACGAAGTCAAACGGCACAAATAAATCAATGTATGAGAAACTGGTAATGTATATCGGAAATGTTTAAAAATCATATCACACAGGTACTGACCAGGCGCAGCCCTGCTTAGCTTCAGTGGGCAACCAGTCTTGGGCTACAGGATGATATGGCGACTGGATGAAAATGAAAACTCATTGTCTGCCAGCAGGAGGCGCTTTTAGAGTGATAAAACTAGCGCTTTCCCCAGTAATGGCTGTTATCACAGCAGCTCCGCTCATGAATGCTACTTTATCAGATTTTTCTGAAGACAATTGGTTCCCTTCAGAGATACATTCATATAAAACACCCGTGCCGTGTTTTGATTTTGAAACGTGCAGTGCTCGTTTATTCAACGAAGTCAAACGGCACAAATAAATCAATGTATGAGAAACTGGTAATGTATATCGGAAATGTTTAAAAATCATATCACAGTTATTGAGAAAAATTATATCGCGATACATATTGATATTGAATTATTGTCCAGCCCTATGCTGGAGTGTGTTTGAGCGTGTTTGGTGCTGGAGTGTGTTGGAGCATGTTTGGTGCTGGAGTGTGCTGGAGCGTGTTTGGTGCTGGAGTGTGCTGGAGCGTGCTTGGTGCTGGAGTGTGCTGGAGCGTGCTTGGTGCTGGAGCGTGCTTGGTGCTGGAGCGTGCTTGGTGCTGGAGCGTGCTGCAGCGTGCTTGGTGCTGGAGCGTGCTGGAGTGTGTTTGAGCGTGTTTGATGCTGGAGCGTGCTTGGTGCTGGAGTGTGTTTGAGCGTGTTTGATGCTGCAGCGTGTTTGATGCTGCAGCGTGCTTGGTGCTGGAGCGTGCTGCAGTGTGTTTGAGCGTGCTTGGTGCTGGAGCGTGCTTGGTGCTGGAGCGTGCTGGGTGCTGGAGCGTGCTGGAGTGTGTTTGAGCGTGTTTGGTGCTGGAGCGTGTTTGGTGCTGGAGCGTGTTTGGTGCTGGAGCGTGTTTGGTGCTGGAGCGTGTTTGGTGCTGGAGCGTGTTTGGTGCTGGAGCGTGTTTGGTGCTGGAGCGTGTTTGGTGCTGGAGCGTGTTTGGTGCTGGAGCGTGTTTGGTGCTGGAGCGTGTTTGGTGCTGGAGCGTGTTTGGTGCTGGAGCGTGTTTGGTGCTGGAGCGTGTTTGGTGCTGGAGCGTGTTTGGTGCTGGAGCGTGTTTGGTGCTGGAGCGTGTTTGGTGCTGGAGCGTGTTTGGTGCTGGAGCGTGTTTGGTGCTGGAGCGTGTTTGGTGCTTTGAGTGTTTGGTGCTTTGAGTGTTTGGTGCTTTGAGTGTTTGAGCGCGTTTGGTGCTGGAGTGTGTTTAAGCGCGTTTGGTGCTGGAGTGTGTTTAAGCGCGTTTGGTGCTGGAGTTGTGTTTAAGCGCGTTTGGTGCTGGAGTGTGTTTAAGTGCGTTTGGTGCTGGAGTGTGTTTGATGCTTGGAGTGCGTTTAAACAACTGCGTTTTCTGTGCTCTTTCTGACGCTCGTGTCTAATGTAGGCAAGCACAGGAAGCATCCTGGAGGTCGCGGTAATGCTGGCGGGATGCACCATCACAGAATCAACTTCGACAAATAGTGAGTAAAGCCTGAAGAGCCTCAGTGCGATTCGCTTGTGTTATTCAGTCACGGTGTCAGTAAAACATTGCTTGAAGGAGCGGTGCACTTTATCTGAGTGTGTGTGAGAGAGAGGGAGTGTGTGTGTGTTTGTGTGTGTGTGAGAGAGAGAGAGAGGGAGTGTGTGTGTACGTGTTTTTGTGACAAATGAGGACATAAATTTGTATAATGACAAAGGTATAACATACAGTGGGGCAAAAAAGTATTTAGTCAGCCACCAATTGTGCAAGTTCTCCCACTTAAAAAGATGAGAGAGGCCTGTAATTTTCATCATAGGTATACCTCAACTATGAAAAACAAAATGAGAAAAAAAAATCCAGAAAAGGTCTGTACAGTATAAAAACCATTATGCCTATGGAGAGTCCCTACAAGGATAGTGAACCAGACTGTGTGTGTGTGTGTGTGAGAGAGAGAGAGAGAGAGAGAGTGTGTGTGTGTCTGTCCTGTCAGAACTGAGACGTGTGCAACAGTGTGTGTGATTCAGTTCTTGACTGTATCTGAAAACATCAGGAGATGCGTTTTCTATATCTGTCTTGGTGAGATTCACACAAACACGTCTTACATGAACGTTTAGTGAATGGTTGGGGAAATCTGATGTGTAACATTATATTTGATCCATGCATACAGAAGGTCTTAATATAGATCTGTCTCAGTGTTAATCAAACATGAAAAGAAAAGACCGAATCACTCGCTGCTCTTGATTAAGCTACTGTTTATTTGCATCTGTTCTTATTTTTAATAACAAAGATAAAATTAAAAAGTAGCTATATGTGATTAATAATATAGTAATTATTATTAAGAGAAGAACTGGAGGAGAATGTGCCGTGTTTGGTGATTTTGTTTGGAATCTTCAGAAAACTTTAACTCCATTTCTGTCTAAATCAGATCTGACTCTATCGCCTTCAAACGGCTGAAGCTCAGTCATTTCTTGTCCGATTCCAACAAGTCATCGTATTTGAATGGAGAACGTGAAAAGAAATAACTCATTTTTGAACATTGCTCATTCCGACTCATGTTGCAGCTGAAGAAATGGCAAAAAATGTACATCTTTTATTTTTTTCAGTACGTTTGACTGATTCTGTGTTTACAATTTGTCAAAGTTTTTACAAAACCTGTCAACTAGAAAATATAACTACAGCATGATTCAAATAACTTTTTCCTTTATTAACCCTCTAGCTGCAGAAAATTCTGTTCCAAGTGTGAAAATGTTAAATGGATCACTTGACTTGTCTTATCCATATTATAAGTTCAGAAATAATAGGAGGAACATGCTTCTCAAGTCAAGGTAATTCAGAATGACTGAAGATATATCAGCAGTAGACTCTTATTAACTATAAATGTTCTGTAAACACTACAGCAGCTTTCAGTCATGAAATATCAGACATACAGCAGTTGTTCTTCACAGGTGTTTAATACAATTGCGCTGCTTTTCCATAGTTATTTTCTATGTGAACATTGATGCGTTTGACTGTTGCGCTCGTTTCTTTTTTATTATATACTTAAAAAAAAAAAAAAAAGACCTTGCTAGGTGTACTGCGTTAATCTAACAGACTTGTCATAGCACTTGCGTATCATTGCTCTTTTGTTGATTTGATTGCTTCTATTGTCCTGTAAGTCTCTTTGGATAAAAGCCGCTGATAAATGTAAAATGTAAACGTCTCCTGCATGAAACAGCATTCTAAAAACACAGTGCTGAAGTTAGAAGTTCAACTCTCATCTTCTTGCATGTTTTCCTCTTCCAGTGCTTTCTGAACACACAAGCTCTTTCTGAGTGAATGGCACTAGTGATATATTTCTGGTCCTTCACAGAGCAAGTCACTCGAGTGACTCATCACATGCGGTCCGATCATTCACTTCTCTTCACTGCTATCATTGACTTATTATCAAAGTGTCAAATTCTAACATCTGGTAATATTTCTATTCAAAATCTCGATTTCTTGATATCTAAAAAAACATGGACGAAACATTACATTTGAATAAATAAAACCTGACAAATCGCCCAACCCTAATGGTTTCCTTTAGCTTGATTTGAGCTCCTTCATTGATTTTTGAAGTCTTAAATTTTCCTTCATGGGTCTGCAGAAAGCCTGTTAGTGAATGTGACGCTGCTTGAGCTCTGGTTCTGGAGTGCTGATTGGTGTTTGTTTCCTGCAGTCATCCTGGGTATTTTGGAAAGGTGGGCATGAGACACTACCACTTGAAGAGGAACACTCTCTTCTGCCCCACCATTAACCTGGACAAGCTGTGGACGCTGGTCAGCGAGCAGACGAGGGTCAACTACAGCACGAAGCCCGATGGCCCGGCGCCCATCATCGACGTCGTGCGCGCTGTGAGTGCTTCACCCTGCAGTGTGTGTGTGGCTCAGAGTCTCAGATAGCAGAGATCGGTGCAGTGCTGTGAGTGCTCTAGAGCGGTGTTTGGAGACACTCCTCCATACAGTGCTTCTCCATGCTGCTCCAGATGACCCCCTGCAGTGTGTGTGTGTGTGTGTGTGTGCGGCACAGAGTCTCAGATAACAGAGATGGGGTGCAGTGCTGAGGGTCACCAGAACCACTGCTGCAAATAGAAATCTTCCATGCCTTGTGTTTTAATTACTTGTGTGTCTGGTCAGATGTCTTCACAGATGTGGTAGAATGTGAGGAAAATGGCTTGAGGACAATTTAAATGTTCATTTTCAAAAGTTCACCTTAAAAATGAAAGTTGTTGTTAAAATATCATCTTTTGTGTTCAACAAAGAAACTCATTCAGAGTTGGAATGACATTAGGGTGAGTAAATTACAATTTTCATGTTTAAGGTGAAGCAGCTTCCTTTAAGTTTGAAAAGACGTTTCATATCTGGAGAAGCATGTTGTATTTGTCTCTTCAGCATGTGCTGAGTATTTGAGTGATTTGTGTGGTGTCTCTGGCTCCAGGTGGATATGCTGATGTTGTGCTGTTTTTCAGGGCTTCTTCAAAGTGTTGGGGAAAGGCAAGCTGCCCAAGCAGCCGGTGATCGTGAAGGCCAAGTACTTCAGCAGACGAGCGGAGGAGAAGATCAAGGGTGTTGGAGGAGCGTGTGTGCTCACTGCTTGAACTGCGTTTGCTAAATAAACAACAGAAAAATGAATGCTCGTTCTTGTGGTGTTTTTCATGGCACATTGATTTCAGCAAGTGATTTTGTCCTGATCGAAACTGTATTCGGTGTCTCATCAATCTGACTTTACAGGTATTTACAGCCTTGAATCTCATCAGATTTGTTGGCCAACACAGTAACCGCTGTAAATTAGGGATATGCCTGTATCAAATTTTCATGTTGCGATTAATTGCTAATTATTTTTATCACGGTATGCGGTATTATCACAATATTGAAATGTAGTTTTAAAAAAAGTGCTAACAATAATACAGTATAACAGGTTTAATAACTTTTTTCTTCTAACAAAAATAACTGAACATTTAAATGCAATAAAGCAATACAGAAAATTGTTTAAAGTTAAAAGTTTTCCACCGATTAAAGTGCAAAAGAACTATAAAGACCAATAGGTATCACTTTACAATAAGAGCTCATTAGTTAACCTTAGTTAATGCATTAACATTCACAACGAGCAATAGCTACATTTGCAACAGAAGTTATTCATCTTTGTTTAAAAAATACTAGTCTTAGTTCATGTTAGCTCATTAAATAACACAGTTGCAGCTTTTGATTTTAACAACCTGTTATTAAAGAGAGCATCTCTCACATGTTCCGCCGTGCGCTTCTCATCTGCGCTTGTTTACATCAGAGTGCGCACGGTCTCTCACACAGCATACAGCGCTGTTGTGCATTTTGACCAGTTGATGGGAGAAGTATTCTTAAAATTCATTCTAAATTCTGAATAATTTGTAATATATAATTATTCACAGTGTTTAGAAGTGCCCACGTAAAACTGCCAGTTTCTGTTCAGTGCTCAGTGTTTCTCAATGGTTTCTTGTTCTTAGCAGGAAAGACATTTATCATTGATGCAGTTAAACTGTTTGCTGTAGTTGGTTGTATTTTCTTGTGTTTTAAGACGGAAAGCATGTTAGCAGTAAATCTAATTGAGTCCTGGGTTTAGTCGTTCAGAAAGTTTATTCTCGATCAGAATGATCTGGATTTGAAAACATGTTACTTCACATTTTTTTGACAGGAAAAATGCTCAAAGCAATACAAACATCGGAGTTATTCATTTGTAGGTAGACTACATGATACAAGTGTATACACTAGTCAACATTTGAAGGGCATCTAAACTTTTCAAAGCTGTTCTAAAACCTAAATTTTAGACCGTAAAATTAAATAACCAGAGTTTTTGTCTTAGGACAAATTTGATGAACTTGTTTGGTCCACTTCAAATGTTGGCAGTGCTCCAAAAGACGATCATTGACACCCTCCACAAAGAGTGTAAGTCACAAAAGATCATTACTGAAAGAGTGGCTGTTCACAGAGTGCTGTATCAAAGCATATTAAACGCAAAGTTGACTGGAAGGAAGAAAATAAGTAGGAAAAGGTGCACCAGCAACAGGGATGACCACAAGCTTGAGAATACTGTCAAGCAAAGCCGATTCAAAGACTTGGGAGAGCTTCACTGAAGCTGGAGTCGGTGCATTGTGAGTCACCACACAATGTATTACGTCTTCAGGAAAACTTCTGAAACAGAAACAACGTCAGAAGCATCTCACCTGGGCTATGGAGAAAAAGAACTGGACTGTTGGCTCAGTGCTCCAAAGTCCTCTTTTCAGATGAAAGTAAATGTTGCGTTTCATTTGGAAATCAAGGTCTGGAGTCTGGAGGAAGACTGGAGAGGCACAGAATCCAAGCTGCTTGAAGTCCAGTGTGACGTTTCTGAAGTCAGAGATCATTTGTGGAGCTGTGGCGTCTGCTGGTGTTTCATCAAGTCAACGCAGCCATCTACCAGGAGATTTTGGAGCACTTTATGCTTCCATCTGCTGACAAGCTTTATGGAGCTGCTGATTTCCTTTTCCAGCAGGACTTTAGCACCTGCCCACAGAGCCAAAACCATTTCCAATGATATTACTGTGCTTGATTGGCCAGCCAACATGCCTGACCTGAAGCCCATATGGAGTCTGTGGGATGTTTTCAAGAGAAAGATGAGCAAGTGGATCCGAGCTGAAGCTCAATAGTGCTTCAGCAGAGCCACATGCTGATCACTTCATGCACTCCTCACTGATGCTGGAGTTTGTGCTGAACGAGCCCCGACCAAGTATTGAGTGCAGAAATCAACATACTTTAAACAACTTGAGCTTTTCTGTTTTGCAAATCCTTTTTGTGATTGATCTTAGGAAATATTCTAATATTTTGAGATACTGGATTTTTGACTAACCTAACCTATGGTCGCAAGTTCTGTCGTTTCCAATAGAGTTCAATGGAACTAACTACCATAGTTAGCTAACGATGCTTTTGGGAAATGCACCCCACCCCAGCGTGGTTCAGAAACCACAATTGATTTCTCTCAGCTTGTGCAGCACCTGTTCCAGCAATCATGCAAATGTGGATAATGGATCGTTTCAGTTCACAATAGTAAGTCCACTCTCACTTCCGGTGCTCAAACAGACAAGAGACACAACACTAGGGTTGGGAACTGAGTGTTGCAGTTTTTAATGGGTTCTTTCAAGAGTAATTAACCATAAAGAGATGGTAAGTATCCATTTACATTACATTTCAGATGTTAAAAAAGCACCACATCGCCTCCTGGTACTTCAGTCAGTAAAGGAAACATGACCACAGAGAGAATAGATGAGTGCCTCACGACTTTTACCAGATTTATTGTGAAAGGTTTACATACTTTTGTCACCATAGAGTCCCCAAGGCTCTTTAGATTGGTGGTTAGGTACTATAGTTTTTATGCTGGGCGCGTATGTGAGGACATCCAGCTTTCCAATAATTCAGACTGCTAAATAGGCATGCTAAACAATGTTTAGGAGAAATCATCAGTCCTCACAATGATAGATGTACCAGCATGCTGTCTGTGTGAATTCTCCCAGAGAAAGCAGACAGGCTGATATTTTGCTTAGTATTTTATTACTAGTTTATTAGTTTTAATGGAACCACAATCAGAACTGGAACCAAAAAATGTCTTGCTATTCTCAACACTAGAAAGCACTGTACAAATAGACAACAGGAGACAGCTGTGAGAACATGGGATGCCAGATATAATGGTGTCAGAAATAGTGTGTGTAGACATGCATAAAAACTGACTGAACGAATTGCCTTGAGAGCCAGGCATCAGCCATCTATCCCAACATGCACTGAAAAAGACCAAGTGAATTGAAGCCATTCTCTGTCATTGTACCTGAGCCAAGCTCCCTGTTTTCTGACTGGAACCAGCATGCTTTTGACCAGTTTACTCCCAAAGTGCCAGAGCTACAACATTGCCATGTCCTCCAGCTCATCGATGTAACTGAGGACATGAACGCTCTCCACTTTAGCTCCTTCGTGCATGGAGGCGCCAGTGACTCTGCTCTTAACAAAGCATGGTTCAAAAATGCTGCTGCAGGATTACTGAAATGAAAAAACACGAGGTCTGAATTACTCATATTTTAGCATCCTTCACTGGCCCAAAATGATTGACTTGGACGTGAGCATTGGAAAACAAGCAGCTCTCTGCAGCTGACTACGGCCTACACTTCCAAAACCCATCATTACAATTGCGGAGAACATTAAACACTGGTGCACAGAATAACCGCTTGAATTTGTCAGGCAAATGAAACCATGAATATCTATTAATATGCAGCCTCTTGGGTCCATGAGTCCACCGAACAGCTCAACAGTCAGAAAAAAGCAAGACTGGAGACAGGGCACAACAGTATTTTCATTAATAAATCATTAACACACATTATAAAAATGCTTAACAGATCCTTAGATCATATATAGTAGAAAAAGTTACAAATATAAGAGATCATGTGCTTGTAAATATTTACTAATGAACTTATTGAACATACAGGTGCGTCTCAATAAATTAGAATGTCGTGGAAAAGTTCAATTATTTCTGTAATTCAACTCAAATTGTGAAACTCGTGTATTAAATAAATTCAGTGCACACAGACTGAAGTAGTTTAAATCTTTGGTTCTTTTAATTGTGATGTTTTTGGCTCACATTTAACAAAAACACACCGATTCACTATCTCAATCAATTAAAGCTCAACAAATAGCAAGCACAGCTGGATGCAGGATGAGAGACAGATGCTTTTTCTGGTACTTTTTGGCATATAGTGGCATCAAACAAAGTAAATTGCAGAGAGTTGAGCCTAACAGAACCTGAATTACAGAATTTAAAAAATATATATTGATTTAAAACTGCAAAAGCGCCTATGTTTTTTTGTTTATAGTAATAGTTGAAAAGTATATAATGTTATTTATAAAGAATTCCACTCATATTTTGTAGTTCAAAGGGTTTTATTTACAATGAAACCATTTTTTAAAATTTCCTCCATTGTATGTGTGTAGGGCAAACATTTGAATTTGAGTATGAAAAATTTAGGCGAAAATGCCAAAAACGCCCAGAGAATAAGTGGTTTAACATAAATTAAAATGCTTGCAAATGTCATTAAACATTCAATTCATATACAGAAAGGAAACAGAAATGCATATCAAAATGAGAGTCTGTGGAACGTCAACAGAAGTAAATGGATTTATTTCTCTTTAGTGTTACATTACAATACACAGTGACACATTCACTAAAGCATATTGTGTTTCTAAATTAAGGCAAGCAAAAGAAATACATAAGTTGCATGCATTGAAAATGTAGTAGACATGTAATGCAGTAAATAAACATCATACTTAAAAAAACAATATGACTCTTCTGTTTTCATGTTAAGACCTCAAAATACATCAGCACAGAAATGGTTGATCTTTGGTGCATGAAATCATCTTGACATGTGTTTTGACTGTACAGCTCATTTGGTGCAAACTGTAAATATTAATCAAGCCTTACATCTCAGGACAGGATACAGATGCATTAGACTTAATGATCCTGCAGAGAATCTAAAACATTACTGGACTTCACATGGACTTTATGGTTTGGTTTTCAAGTCTGTTCCACTCGATGAACACAATATGAATGAGAAGTATAATGTCTTATGAAATATGTTCCT